AATAGACACTTATTGGATTCATGGAAAGAGAGTTTGGCGACTAAGGAACAAGAGCTGAATATTATCTGCTCATTTCACGCTGCAGAGTCCCAAACTGAGCAAAGGGAAGAGGCTGAGAAAGTTTGACTAGAGGACTCCCTGTGATCCTGTGTAGAAAGGGAATTTTCTCTGGATAATGCATCATTTCTTTTCTAATCTTTCAAGACTTATGTTGATCATTGCTGCTTTTTTTCCTTTTGTCACATATGTTGACATTTTCTGCACTGATGATGTGGGTGAGGAAATGGCCTTTTACATTTATTTTTGAGATTTATTCCTGAATCACTCTTACTAAAAACTCTTCATTTGCCTACTCATACTTTCATGGGAGACCCTAGAAAATGTCAATAGAGAAAACCAACTGTATTATTGTTAGTAATTTCAATTTGAATGCAGGGAAGCACGAGATTGGTTCAGTTAGCTTTATCTAGGCTAGAGGTTTCTCACAGTCCAGCACAGGGAGATGGGCTGCTTGTGAATAAGCCCCGTGGACACCCAGCTACTTCTTTCTTCCATGGTCTGAGTAAAGATGCTGCTAGAAGCGTGAGTACTTGCCTGTAGCCCCAACATAACTTGTTCTGAATTTTTCCCATGTACTTGTACTTCAATCAGAAATCTGGTCCTTGATTGACCATAGGTTGATCACCAAGCAGTAAGCTTGTGCATATGTTCTTTGAGTGCTGGAAACCTGATCTCGTTGTAGCCTGATAACTCTGACTGCCAGAGCAGCCTCCCCTGCTCTACGATAAGGCTAGCAAAAGTGAAAGGGTCAGGCTGCAATAAAACGGCTCAGGATAAATGAGAAGAGAATATGGCTTGTGATTGCTGCACCACATAACTGTCCCTCAAGGGGGTTTTGGTGTGCCAGGGCTAATGCCTTGATGTAGTAAGCACACTGTTTCTTTAACAGCATAAAAGCACAATGGGAATGGCTGGCTTCCTGCAGATTTTTGTTGATGTTTGCTTAGCTATGTGGAAATGTATTTGATTTTGAGACAGAGAGGTTATAAATAGCAAATTAATATGATATTATTTGTTTTATCAAATAAAATGCTTAGAAAATGTTTATCTTGTCTCACAAGAACAACAGAAATAGAGGCTGGCACTTCTCTGCAGCTCTCCTTAGTGAGCTGATATGGGCTGCGTTCTTGATGCCTCTACAAGTTTGGGGGTGAAATGAAGGAAGTTCTGAGTAGAATTCCTTGTAACCACAAGCACTGGGTGTGCCTGACTGTAGAGCCAAAAGCATCTTTAATTGTGCTGTTTTTCCTCCTCTTATTTTTAATGGAAGACATTCCCATTTAAGAACCTTAGAAACTGACAGTAAGGGCTGGATTCTGCCACCCATACTGACGCATCAAACCCTGCTGGTAACTGTGGCACTCAAGGGGGCTGGTTGTGCTGTGTTGTGAGACTTGTGATGTGCAGGGGAAGCACGACCAGAAACACAGCGTATCGCAGCTCTGGGGAAGGATGTGTTATTTGTTAGGTTTTTAGAATATGTTCACATAAGTAGAATTTACTTGTAATAAAATGAGCTCAGATGTTGTGGATGAGCAAGGGAAAAAGGTGGCAAGATAGCATCTTGTTCTTTACTTTTCCTTCTTTGTGCCAATAAATGCAGCTATAGATGAAAATTCACTGTAAATGGCTGTAGCTCCAAGACTTTTGTATGTTAGCATTTCTTAAACGAAATAATTCTTCTGGAAAGCACTGTGTAACGTACACAGACCCAAAGAAATAAATAAGAGAAAATAAAAAAAATTGCGACCAAAAAACCCCAAGTTGATTTTTTTAACAGAAAAAGGGGATTTGTGTATTAATAATTCATGAGTTCTCATTGAACATGCACGAAGAAACGGTGCTATTCAATAGAGAATACTGTCATCTGTCACTGTTTTATTTGACATTTACACTTCTTTTTTTTTTTTTTTGCCTGGTACTGCAAAACTTTCTTGGATGGCGTGCTAAGATTATTTAAATAAATAATTAAAGAATCCAATGCAGACTTTTCATCTGTATATGGGGAAGGCAGTTACTTGCAATCATAAAGAAGTGTGAGTGTGCTGCAGTGCCGTGTTTTCTCACATACTAACCCAAGCTATCACCTACTAAGCGGCCCCATAAATGGATGGAGTCTTGAATGGAGGGATGAGAGAATGGGTACTCAAATAAATAAAAAGGTAGGAAAAGAGCAGTGAAAGGAGAGATTTGATGCAGGTAAGCATGCACACGCACATGGTGGGTATGTGCATCTATGTGTGGGGGTGAGTGAATGATAGCTGTTGTGAAGAAAGCTGCCGTAAATACATTGCTGTTACTGATGGAAAAATAAATATTTATAAATGGCATTGGGGAGATCCAGTCACACAAAATGTGAGAGAAGACAGGGCATTTAGCACAAAGACAATTCAGAGTTAGGCGCACCTTGCAATTTCTTGCTAATATTAGGCTCATGAAAATCTTTCTGCTCTGTAGGTTAGTTATTATTTATAAAAATCACAGAACCAGCTGATACATTCATAAGCTAATTATTGTAGCAGCTGGGTACACATGGTGCAATATGTCTGAGGCTGTGAAGTATCACAGATTTCTTGGGGCCTGCTGTGGTGGGGGTGTGCTGTTGAAGGCTAGATCCCTTAATCTGATCAGCCAAGCAAATACTTTGTGGGGAAACTGGATTAATATCTCTCTAAATACCATGGATGTGCTTCACCTTCAGAACCAGGCTCCTTTAAACGTGCCATTAGCTTATCTCCTTCAGGGAATTGAGAAGTTCTCAGGTGTCCTCAGGATGACGGGGTCTTTGCCTGGTGCCTGCCTTTGCCAGAAATTAATTTCGTTTGCTCATGTCTGCACACATGGTCACACTGCAGTCTAATCTTTTCCCTAATAGCTCCAAGGTCAGGACCTCGCATGTTGCCAGGCAAATTGAGCGCTACCCTTCTTAAAGACTAATGGCAGCGAGTGCGTTGTCCATAATGAGGCCTGTAGTGTTGCTCTAAGTGATTGTAATGAGCGCCGATTATAACGGGACAGATAAATCAAGATGCAGGCCTTGCTGTTGGGCTGGCTAGGCCAGCTCTAGGAAGTGGAGCCTCCTCCACTGAGGAGCTGGGCAATCCGTGGCCCAAGAGAGAGAGCTGTTCTGCTACAGGCCTGTCCTGTGCTGGGCTTGGCTCCAATGGGTACAGGGCTTTGCCTTTATTTGCTGCTGAAGGATTGGTCCAGGTGCTCTGGCATCCCTGGGGAGGTATTAAACATACCTGCCTGGAACGTTTGAAAGGGTTCTGGTGGAAACATATTCAGATCAGTGAAAAGCAGGGAGAAACACGAGTTTGTTTTTTCCACAGATGGTTTGTTTTCCATCTCAAAAATTATTTCCTTTGTATGGCGAAGCCCCTGAGAACTCACAGTGGAACTGAGAGATTTTTTCCCCTTTATTTTCTCCAAAAGAAAGTTTATGGGGATTTCTGAGCTGAGGAAGGGGACTGGGGAGTGCTGAGGGCAAGGGACGTGGTCAAACTGAATTGAAATGCAGGCATCACCTGGCTGAGAGATTACCTAAAGACTAGTCAAAATACTTGGAAAAATATAGATTTTTTTTTTCTTTCCCCCTAAGTAAATGATTAGATATCTTGTTTTTATCCTTGCCCCACTACCCCCCAGCCTTCCTAGTTTATTGCAAGAAAAGATCAGGTCTGCACAAATGTGGCCTCTCACTTGTAAAAACAAGGCAGTGTTGTGTTACAGATTAGTTTATAAATCCCTAGTGGCTTCACAGTTCAGTGCCTACAGCTGCTGCAGATGGGCCTGGGTTTTTGTCTCTTCGCTGTGCTGCAGCCGGCAGTTGAAGGAGAAAATGGAATGATCAGGTTATTAACATGTAGGCCGCGAGGAAGAGGCTGCACAATGAGAACAGCTGGTGTTGCTGTCTTGGCTGATGCAGCGGAGATAATCAAATCTTGCCTTTTTTGGGGGGTGAAGGCACAAGACATAGTGGAGAGTGAGACAAACAACGGCTTATGATATTATATACAGGGTTTATAATGCATGTTAGAAGTTGTCAATGGCTTACAAGTTGTGATACAATGAAGCAATAAAAAAAATAATCCTGTATGGGCCTCTAATGAACCTGTCTGTTCAGCTTGCTCTTGTCTCTGTTTGGAAAAACACAATTTTTGGCTACTTCTTGTACCATACAGTTTTAACGTTGATCAAGTATTTTTTAGGTATTGTAAGGTATCTGTTGAAGTGGCGTCAAAGTGCTGAGTTGCAGCTCAAAAATGATGGGTTATAGAGCTACTAGGTAAAATATTTTGACAGGAGTCACTAAAGCGCGTTGACAGCATCCTCAGCATTATCTTCTCATTTTCTGTCATTTACATCCTGTCTCCTTGTGCACATGCATAGGAGAGGCATTGCTGTCCTCAGCCCCACGTGGGCTGGCTGCATCCCCCACAAAGGAGCAGCAACAGACCCATCCCTGGGTGACTGCTAGGGACCTGGGGTCACCCCACACATGCTTAGAGCATGTAGGGCTGTTTTCACTTTACAGCTCCTGCCACCTTGCCCTCTGCCTGGCTTTGTGTTTTAGGTTGTTTCCATCTCCTGAACTGCTGGCACTTCCTACTGCAGTGCTCTGAGCTCTCAGTCCCTCTGGAGAGGTCCAGAAGGATTTAGTACCGTGGTAACTTTTTGAGATCCAGTCATACAAAATGTGAGAGAAGACAGGGCATTTAGCAGAAAGACAATTCAGAGTTAGTTTCAAACTAACTATTCAACAAAATAGGACTTATAAACTTGATTATTAGGATCAGTAGCTGGTGTGCTACGATTATTTCCAACTAGCATCTCTCTAGTTGGAAATAATCGTAGCATCTTTAAGTCTAGCTGATGTTCCTTTCACATCTAGTTCCTCAGTGCTTAGTGAATTAACTGTGCTGACCCCCCTGTTGCAGGGCTGGCTGTGCGAGTTACTTCGCTGGAAAGAAAACCCAAGTCCAGAAAACCGCACCCTCTGGGAGAACCTCTGCACCATTCGGCGCTTCCTGAATCTTCCTCAGCACGAGAGGGATGTGATCTATGAGGAGGAGTCCAGACATCACCACAGTGAGCGTATGCAGCATGTTGTCCAGCTCACTCCTGAGCCCGTGCAGGTCAGAGTGCTAACTTCCTTCTCAAGGAGTTTTTGCAGGGGAACAGCCATTGGAACTAGAGAAAAGCCACCGGTTTGAACTTCCCCACGGTTGGCAGGTTGAGACACACCAATGTATATCTGCCTGTAGGACTGCATGCAAACCTTAGCTCTCACAGTATAAGCAAGCTCCCTGTGTGAATGCAGCGTGTATGTGAGTGTGTGCAGGTTTGTGTTGGTGACTCAAGAAGAGGGATGCGCCAGACTACGCCACGACCAACAGCAACGTCAGCATTAGTGATGTTATGGAGCTCCCATCATGTCAGTAGCTGTGTTGTGACTGAAACAATTTAGCTGCCTAAAGCTGCTGGCATTTGGAGGAGCACAAATGTGTTCTGCAGCAGTAGCAAGAGAAGCATACAGCTGGTTAGGAAGAGGAGCAGGAGCAGGGTTTGGTCAGTTGTTCCTCCTCACAGGACCTGAGCTCTCCTGATGCCTGCTCTTTAACTGTGTCCAACAGGCAACTCCAGTCAGAGTTTATAGTTTCTCTCTCAGCCTAATAGATATCTCTAGTAACTAATGAGGCACGTTACAAAACTGAACGAATGTGGTAGTGGTCAGAAGAAACTCAGGACTGGTCTGAAGTGAGAGCTGGACTTCAGAACTTAAGAGATGCTTTCTTCACCCTGCATTTTTGTGAACCCTGTTTTCATGGTGGAAGGAGAGATTGTGAGTGTTACTTGCACTTTGGCCATGATGCCAAACATTAGAGCAGCTGCTGATCTGAAGACTCTCTGTTAGGTGTTGTTTTAAAAATTAACCAAAAAGAATACTGCTATTCAACTGCAGGGATCTTCCACAAGACACCTGCAAGTGTCATGAAATCAGTGAGATCTGTGAACAGTAGAGGAAGGGATAAGGCCAGTAATGGGAAGAACTTTCCAGAGAGGCAGATTGTTGGGTGGATGGGTTCCAGGAACAGTGTGGTCGCTCCAATTATGAAAAAGCTTTTTATTCTTCTGCTCATTTTAAATATGTTATCTAGGTTTCAGCATTCTTTAGTGGTACTTCTGGAGAATGGGGCAGGATGTGAGGGAATGTTATGGAATAAAGGCCACTGTGGAGAAAGGGCAAAAGTTTGATAGATGACAGCAGTGAGGATGTAGGGAGGACTGATGTGTGACAGTTGTTGAAGCTCACGAGAACTTGGGGGATAGAGACCAAATGAATGAGAAGGGGATGTGTATGCTCAATCTAAAAAATCTGGAGTGACACTTTCCATAGCAGAACATTGTCACTGCTGGCCCTCACGGCCATTTCACCTGATTGTAGTGTGTGACAACTGTCAGTCAGTTGTGTTTCTCTCTGATAGTCTCAAGGTTCGTCCTCCCACCTTTGCTCTCCCCGTTATGGTTTGGTCACAACTTCCATTGCTATGTGACTCTTGCTGTGAACCCTGGTATTCAGCCTAGGCTTTTTGTCTCTGCTCTTGTTCTTTTGCTGTGAGAACTGTTGCCAACAATCTATTCACCTTTCTCGAAGGTGGGAGGTTTTCGTATGTGATCCTGCCCCTTCTAAAACACCTTTTTCTCACCAAGATTAATTATTGCCTCGTTCAGTCTCCTTTGTCTCTTCTGCTGTTGACTTCCTCCTTGATCTTCATTTTGTCTTTGCCTAGAATTAACCAGTGTTTCCTGGTTTTCAGATTCTCAAAGCTTTAAAGTAGAGGAAGTGCTGTAAGTAATTAATATTGCAAGTTTTGACTTCGATGTTCCCAAAAGTTTGTAAGATCTTGGAGGCAAGGAACTACAGAAGGGTAAAGGGCTGAGCTAACACATGAAAAGATGACTAGAATTGTGTAATTTGAACAAATTAACCCAGTTCTGGTGCCCACACCAAGCAGGAAATATCCTCTACGGGGTAGTGTGAAGAAAAAGTTTCCTTGAGCTCTCGTTGGTGACCTTGTTGATTAGCCTACTTTCCAAGTCTTCTGCATATCACTTAGCTGTGTAGTGCAGGTCGGCTCTTCTGAGTGACACGTTACAGTGCATTGGAATGTGATGCATTTGTATTTGTCAGCAAGTTACAAAGCCATGGATTAATTATTTATTACAGTCAAAATATGAAAAATGAAGAAAAATAAATGGAACCAGCTGGCAACTACATAAAACAAAACTCTGGAGACCCTGGTATATGGTTGATACAGTAGGCTTGTGTTTTGAGGGCGTTGCATTTTAGAGCTATGTTTGCCCATCCAAAAAGCCCAATAGGCTTCTGCATGGCATGCTACACCAGTGCAAGACACAGGAGGCTCAGTGTCCACCTGCTACCTACTGCACCAAGCAGTTTTTGTACCATTTTCAGTCTCTGAGACTTGAATTGTTTCAGGCAGCAAGGTTAGTTTTTTGGCTTTGCTGCAAGGGTCAGTATTAGGTAATTAGCCGTGAAGAATCAAAGACAGCAGCAAGAGACATAAAACAGAGGTCCTCACACTTACAGTCACTGGAGATTTTGTGACACTTTACATAAGGGTAGGGGTCTTGGGCTCAACTTCTGGCCAAACTCCAGGCCAAGTAATTACATTCTGCCTATCTAAAATTCCCTCTGTAGTGTCAAATGGGGAAGCAATGCTCATTTCCTGCTCAAAGCAGTGGTGGGTGCAGAATGTCTGTTGTGGTGCCATTGTGCATTTTAGCAGAGGTAGAAACATTGAAGAGCTGCAGACGCTGTCCTACTTCGCTTTGCAGACTTTGCTAGTGAAAAGTGCACTATAAATCAGGCCTTTATGTGCAGCCTTGATGTCACGATGACAGACCTTTGAAGGAAGTATGAGAAGCAGTGCTAGAAATAATAGTAGGTGTAGTGCTATAACACTGAAGCAGGCAGGAGTCTCTTACCTCTGTTTTCTTTCTGCTTACCCCCTTCTTCCTGCCTGCTGTGAAAGACTTGATGTGCGTATGGTATTTTGTTCCTGATGCTTGAGTCTCCCTCCCCTCCAGTGATGAGTCAGAGACTGAAATCGGGCTGCTCCACGCTGTTGCCAGAGCTTCCTGCCACCACAGCCGAGCCCTTGCTGGGCTGGAGCACCCCTCCATCAGGCTGGAAGAACCTCCTGGCTGTCATCGTGAGGCACAGCCAAACAAAAGAGAGTGGGTGTATCAAGTACAGCCTTTTCCCAGCACTGCTTCTTGGAAATGGCAAAGAGTTCATTGTGATGGGCTCTGTGTAGTTCATATGGTGATTATGGGCTTGGGCACACCTTCAGTGAGGGGATCACGCTGAGGCTGGTGTGCTTTCTGTTCAGTCATGGCAAGGTGAGTGCAGTGGGGCAGTCATAGTGCTGTGGAAGTTGGACGGAACTTGGCTCCTGATGTTTGAGGGACTGTCGTTTCCCTTGTGGTAGGTTGTTGCCCTCTGTTCTGTTACACCAGCCCATGCCTCACTGTTTAGTTTCAGGCTTGGTGCTTTACAAAGAAACATTTTTTTTTTTTCTCTCTTCCATTAGGTTTTTCCTGTCAGCCATATATTAAGCCATTTAATTAAATATTTTCCTATTTCTGAAATGAAAAATGTGTTCAGTGGAAGCTTAATGCACAAGGAATTCTTCCCTGCACACTTGATTTATTTGTTATTGTGTGGAGAAGTCATAAAATCTGAGCCCTGTGGAGCTGTGACATGGCAGTGCTCTCTGGCAGCACCGCATGTGACCATATGGACATGCTGGGGCATGGACTTTCCTGCACACACCAATTGCAGAGCATCCACACTACACCTACACAGTGCTGTACATTGCTGTGCAGGCCAACACAGCCTGCCACAGCCTCAGGTATGCACTGAGTGGCTCTTCCACCCTCCAGTTCTGTGCAGTGTGTTGTGATCAGTGTGTTCTGCTGTGGGACTAAGGAGACCCATGAGCTTGTGCCCAGCTGGATCCCACAAATACTTCACTTCTGATTTACAGAGTGTCCAAGTCGCAGGCTGCTAGAGATGAGAGGGCATGCTGGAAAGCAGCATCTCTCATCCTCTTCCACCACCATCAGGTGTGAGATCCTGACTGGAACTTTGATCTGGCCCAGTCTGGCTCTTTTTACACAGATTTGCTGGACAGCCGCTTTGCAGCAAGCAGTCCTCACACTTCTGTGTTCAGCTTCCTGCTCTGCACAGGTGAGAGTGCCCTGTCATGCTTTCCATTCCTCGCCAAATCCCACTGCTCCCAGCTGTTCACTGGCATTGGACCTTCCCAGCATGTTAATGCTGAGAGGTGCCTCCAGCCCTTTCCTGCTGCTAACCAGGGATTTGGTGTTTGTTACAGACATGCCGGGACATAGGAAATCTAATTTCTCTCCCTTCTCCCACTATTTGTTTGCTGTATACAAGGTGACTGCTCTGGAGAATAACCATGTTGCCTGATACTTTAAATGGTGCTAATTCACTGTTAATTGCTGGGGCAGAGAAACCTGTCTCAGTTGGGAAAATGATGAATCAAGCTGTTGTCTCTGGAGTGTTAAGGTGGATAAGCCACTTCTCTGGAGCCACAAGCCACCACTACAGCAAAGTACCTGCTATTTCAAAAGCAGGGAAACCTCGCCTTTCATTTCCAGCATAAGATGTCAGAGAATCTACTGAAGCTGGTAGGTACGTGCTGATTTAAGTCAGATATTGGCTTTAAAGAAACGGGAATGGTTTTCACATACTTTCTGATATATTGTTACTTTCGTAGCTTTATAAAAAATCATATCCTTTCACTTTTTTTTTTTTCTCCAAAGCTTTGATTTAGACAAATCTGGCAATTTATAATAGCTCAGATCGTAAATCATGGAGGAGTATTAGTAAATAAAGGAAGGTATGGCAGAAAGCTATAGGAAACCTCTTTTGTATTGTGTGTTCATTGCAAGCATTGTAGTCTGTCTTTAAATATGCAGAAAATAACATACTGCAGAAGTATAAGAAATACTAATTTTGTCATCTTTTTGAGGGATGGAAGGGAACAAATATTTTAGTCAAGACAATGAACTACAAAAC